GGATGTGGGGTTCCAGGTGACGCGGGTCCTCGCATGTGCTTACGTTTATTTCACTGAGCCTGCGACTGGCAGAGGGGGTGCAACGGGGCACAGAGGATAAACACGGCCCTGGCGTCATGCAACTTAACTCCGGGTGAGGAAACATGACTTGGTCAAATAAACACATTGATGAATTTATAACTACAGACGGGCTCTGAAGACCCGGGAGCGGGTGGGGTGGTCACGGAAGGCTTCCTTAAAAAGCAAGCTTGAGCTGAGATGGGAAGGAAGGAAGGAGAGCTTACCCAGGCAAAGGGGGTAGGGATGGGGCGGCAGAGAGAGCCTCCCAGACAGGGGACAGTTGGTGCCGAGGCCCTGTGGCAGAAGAGAGTGTGATGCCATCAAGAGATTGTAAGTTAGGTCCGGCCGGGGTGCTCAGTGGTTGAGCTTCAACCTATGAACCAGGAGGTCATGGTTCGATTCCCAGTCAGGGTACATGCCCAGGTTGCTGTGCACTCGATCCCCAGGAGGAGGCAGCCGATCAATGATTCTCTCTCATTGTTGATGTTTCTCTCTCTCCCCCTCTGCCTTCCTCTCTGAAATAAAAAAAAAAAAAATGTATTAAAGGAATGGTAAGGTCTGTGTGGTTCAAGAACAGAGCACGGAGCGGAAGAGTGAAGGGAGAAGGAAGCTGGTGAGATGGGCAGGGCCAGGCGATAGTTAGCCCTTGTGGGCCTTGTGAAGGGGCTTGATTTTTGTTCTAGGAGCAGAGGGGAGGCATTAAGAGTTTTGGGGAGTGATCAGGTTTGTGTTTTTAAAAGTTAACTAACCCTTGAGGGGGACAAGAGGCCGATGGGTTTGGGGGAGAGGAATGGGGGCAGTTCTTCGCTGTGGAATAGCTGAAAGATGATGGTGCAAGAGATTAGAGCAGCCATGGGCAAACTACAGCCAGCGTTTGAAATGAATAAAACTAAAAAAAAAAAAAGACCGGACCCTTTTATGTAATGATGTTTACTTTGAACTTATATTAGTTCACACAAACACTCCATCCATGCTTTTGTTCCGGCCCTCCGGTCCAGTTTAAGAACCCATTGTGGCCCTCGAGTCAAAAAGTTTGCCCACCCCTGGATTAGAGGATACGTTTGAGAGATAGTTAGGATGTCAAGTTGATGGAACTTGGTGACTGACAGTATGATGATGAGGGGAAATAAGAGAATTTCTGTATTAGTGTTGGAATAAAATGAAAAAGAAAAAAATGATCCTTTTGAAAATGAAACTTTTCAGAATTGAAAAAAAAATTTACATTTACATAGGAAAATTTAACCAGAACGTAACTTGTTGAATTAGCACCTCAAAGCAGACTGGCAATCCCTGGGTTGTTTTGAGACCAGACAATGGTACTAGAACTTCAGGTCACTGGCATCTCACCTCTACTTAGGAATGTTCTGGAATTTTAAAGTTTTACCACGGGCTTCAGTTGAAGACTGCTGTGGCTCCCGAATCCATTTGCTCAGTCCCTCTTCAATAGTAATGGAATTACCTGGGCCAGAACCTGCAGCTGCCCAAAATAAAGGCTGCCTCTCCCCCTCAGCCCTGAACTTGGATGGACAAATGACTCGGTTCTGTCTAATGCCACGTATGCAAAGGTGTCATGTGGGTGGTGGCTCCCAGGAACCTTGCTCTCTTCTCTGCCCCTTTCTCCAGCCCTGCTGCCTGAAATGAGGATGCCTCCGGCAGTGACCCCGAGATTGAGGCCACACGGAACAGAGCAACAAGATGGTAGGAGCCTGGGTCCCTACCCTGTGGGGCACTGTGTCAGCCCCGGACCACTGCCTGAACTTAACATGACATGTTCTTCCGTTTTGCTTTCTGTCGCTTGCAGCTGAGCCTGGTTCTCACTGATAGAACCTCCAACATTTGCCTGGAAACCTGTCAGGACAGAGAACGGGAAGGGAGCCTAACCCTTGAAGAAGCTGTGAAGACATTTTCATTGACGGTGGCCTGGGTCATGTTTTACACTTTGAGGAAAGGGCTCTCTCTCTTGGAAATGAACGGCCTAAAGGCCCTGGTCTTAAAGGAGAGAGCGTGGACCCCTGAGCGGCTGGGTGCGAACGTCAGTGGGGACTCACCCAGGCTGCCGACTTCATTAAACGGCTCTTGTTTTTGCTCGCGTTCTGGTGAAGAACTTGCACGGATCCGCGTGGCCTGCCTCAACCCGCTTCCCCTTCACCCCTGTTGTTTCTGTGCGCCACATGGGCGGACGCGGGTTCTCCAGGGACACATGTGCCACCTCGGAGCAGAGGCCTCAGAGCGAGGCTGCTCCCCATGGGCGCCCTCTCGTGGCGATGCGCTGCTGTGTCTTTTGCAAATATTTTCTCCGTCTGTGGCCCGTCTTCTCCTTCTCTTGACAGTTAATGTATTTTTAACTTCACAAAACCCAGGAAGTAGAACAAATCACCAAGCAGCATTTGGGAGGAGCCAAGTTCCCAGGATACAGCAGTTAAAGAAGAAGAAGAAGGAGAAGGAGAAGGAGAAGGAAGAAAGAAGAAAGAAGAAGGACTCGAAGGCGGGGCTGTGTGGGCTGGGCAGACCCGCTCAGAACCAGGCCGCTGCCCACAGGAAGAGCCGTGGGCGCCCGCTGTCCCTGGCACCGAGGCCTGGAGCTGCCGCTGCGATGGGCAGAGGCGTGCGGGGAGGGCTCAGTGCTGGGGTGTCGCCCTCATGAGAGTCTAGCCCCAAGCCGTGGGTCCTTGGAACTCAGACCTGTTGGTACTCATATGGGACAGGGCCTAGGACTCTGTATTCTAAAGCCATGGTCCTCCCCCACTCCCACACACACACCTGTGAACCTATCAGGCAAACACAGGAGAAACTACAGGGCGGCCGCCTACTTGACTCCATGCCCCACCGAGGAGGGTCCCCACGTGGAAGGCTCTGGGGCGGCCCCCGGAGCCCAGGTCCTGCAGAGCCACCCTGCCCCACTCCCGCCATCACAGGCAATCCGTTCAGCGAACACGCAAAGGGAACATGATTATTTTATTTCATTTAAAATAGCAGGACTTTGGCGTCAACCTAAAAGGTCAGGGTTTTCATTACAGTTTTGCTTGTGCAAAGAAACCTCACGCTATGTTATTATGCCATAAAAGGGAAGTTTGTAAAAGTATTTCTTCTTGTCGTGAACATGTGGGGAGCTCTGCTTGTAACCTCAGTCCAGGCCAAATAATAATCTTTATTAACAAGTCAAACCAACCAAACAAAACAACTCTGAAGCAAAAAGAGGCAAAAGTGCCTGGTAAACGTGATTTAAAAGACCAGGGATCAGCCCTGGCCGGTGCGGCTCAGTGGGTGGGAGCACCATCCCGTGCGCCTAAGGGTCGCAGGTTTGATTCCTGGTCAGAGCACAGACCCGTTTTGGGGGTTCAACCCCCAATCAGGCCGCGTGCGGAGGGCAGCCAGTTAATGTTCCTCTCTCCCTTCCTCTCTAAAAACGAAGAAAAAACATATCCTTGGGTGAGGATTAAAATAGTGATAAAGACCAAGGTTCAGAGAGTGTCTGAGTCCACAGCACCTGTTCCAGCTGAGGATTTGCGTCTGTAACTGGGGGTGAAGGTGGATAAACATTAGGGACAGCGACGAGGAGAACGTGTAAAAGGAACACAGCGCTGTGTGCTCCTGCCTCCACCCGGGGTTCTCCCCTCCCCCGCGTGACTTCATTCCCACAGCCTCACACCCTCCAGCCCCGAACGCCCACCAGCTGTGGTCTCCCAGGTTGGCCCCAGGCCTCAGGCCCAGGGACAAGCCCCTCACCTGCCCACAGTCTGCACCACTCCCAGCAGCACCTCCACCAGCTGCAGCCACGGGCGGCCGCAGGGATGGAGGTGTTTCCGGAGGCGGACAGCACAGCAGGGCTCCGGACCCGTGGGATGAGAACTTGAGGGCGCGCAGGGCACCCGGCCATGTCTCCCGTGAGCCCCCGGCCGTTTCTGACTGCAGCCTGTCTGGGGAAATGCCAGCTGAGCCCGGGACTGGGGGTGGGGAGGGCCTTCTGAGCAGGACTTGTCCCAGCAGCTTTCCTCGTGGCCCATCCTCAGCCTCAGCTGCTCCCTGAACTTCTGCTCCATCCCAGAAGCTAACGTGAGGGTCTCGCCAGGCTCTGGCGTGACCTAATGCCACAGCTCCAGGGGCCCCCGGGCTCCCCCGACACGGGCCGTTTCTGTCAGGGGATTTCCCCTCGGATCCTACGGGGATGCCCACCTCCTGCTGATTTTCATAACGAAACTTTAAAGGCGGCCGGAAAGGAGCACTTTGGACTAGTTCTGCAGACGGCCATGCCTTCAGGTTCTCTTCCTGTTACAGACGTCGCTTTTCGGAGTAAAACAGGAACCCACAGGGTGGCGTGGCTTTGGTTTTAATCCAGAACCGTTTTATAGGCTCCGAAAATCATGTCCATGCGGCACGGCCCTCACAGAGCCCCAGGGAATAACACTGTTCAATAACGTACTGGCCCCACTAAGGCTCCAGCCCCCACTAAGGCTCCAGCCCCCCACTAAGGCTCCAGCCTCCACTAAGGCCCCAGCCCCCCACTAAGACTCCAGGCCCCCATCTAAGGTTCCAGCCCCAGGTTCCAGCCCCCCACTAAGGCTCCAGCCCCCCATCTAAGGTTCCAGCCCCCCACCTAAGGCTCCAGCCCCCCACTAAGGCTCCAGCCTCCACTAAGGCCCCAGCCCCCCACTAAGGCTCCAGCCCCCCATCTAAGGTTCCAGCTCCCCACTAAGGCTCCAGCCCCCAACTAAGGCTCCAGCCCCCACTAAGGCTCTGGCGGTGACAGCTACATGTCCCATTCTTAGCCACCGGATCCCGTGACTTCCAAGAAAGTTAAAGGGCTGGAGGGAGAGCCACAGAATGTAGAGATACAGGTGCTTATTTTACGTCCTTTTTGAGGCTCCAGCCCCCCACTAAGGCTCCAGCCCCCCCACTAAGGCTCCAGCCCCCCAACTAAGGCTCCAGGCCCCCATTTTTTGTATTAAACGTAAGTTATCACCTGTGACCTTTGTGTCATTTTCCCAACCAACTCCCAAATGTCCACCTTCGGGGTGGAATTAGTACTGGGGCCATTTGTGTCACCTTTCCTGTAAAAACTGAACTAGGAAGTGAAGAGACCGCTCCCGACAGGCCCAGCCGGTGCTCACAGCACAGACCCGACCGTGGGCATCCCCAGGGAGTCCCCGGCCACTGCCTGGAGGAGGGAACCTGCATCTGACGTGACCGGGGAGGCAGGAGTCTGGGTTCTGGCCTGTGCTGGAGACCCGGATGCATCTACACCAGGGCTGGCCACCCGAGAGGCGGGGAGGGTCCAGGAGGCTGGCTGCGGGCTGTGCTCAGGGCATCACCAGGGCACCTGGTTCAAAGTACCCGGCTCTTGGTGGCTGGCAAAGCTCCCCCAGAACAGCCACGCTCCCCGGGCAGGCCCACACCCTGACCGGCGGGACTCTGCTCCATGATATCCAGGTGTGTGTGGGTGTGTGTGTGGGGGGGGAACACCTCTCCAGCGCCCCCTGGCGCTTTACTTAGGAGGGTAAATAGTGTGCATAGCTCTTCATGCTTTTCCCACGGGTGTGGGTCCTCAGACTGTAAACAGTGCTGTGTGGTCCAGAGGCCGCTGACCTGGCAGTGGTCACGTCCCACTGGTGTCCCTGAGTCTCACTGCCACCCGCACGCGGACAGACGCCGCGCACAGCGGACACGGGTGCGGACACCTGCTGCCTCAGGGCCCAGGAGGTAGAAGAAGCTGAGCTGCGGCCGCCCCTCCACCGGCCTCAGGAGCTCGGGCAGCAGAGGACAGGCTTCCGGCTGCAGCGTGCCCCCGCCCTGCAGCGGGTCAGCACCCGCCCAGACCAGGAAGGGAGGCTCAGGTGTGTGGAAGTTCGTCGGGGTCCACCTGGGCCCCCGAGTCCCCTGTCCTGGAGGGCGCCGAGGCCTCGGGCGGGCCGGCCAGGCTCCCGGCGGGAGGCGGGGTCGGGCAGCAGCAGCAGAGGGAGAACAGCCGCGTCCGGACGGCGCGGGTGCAGAGGACGAACATGATGCAGTTGGCACCTCCCTGAAACGTGTTCCCGATTCCCTGCGGGGGCGAGAGGAGGGCAGGAGTGCCAGGGCTGCAGGGGGTCTTCAGCACACAGGCCGGGGGGGCTGGCAACCCCAGACCTTGCCCTGCACCCTAGGGCCGGGCTGCCATGACCCTGCATGTGGGCCGTCAGCGGCAGCGCTCCGGGCGGGTCTGAGCGGGCAGACCTGGCCCAGCCGCGTCTCCAGGTCCCCTGGGCTGGGAAGGACCCGGGAGCATCCACGCTCCTGGGGCTCCTCCGGGGCCGCTGGGCAGCCTCTGGACACACGCATGGGGGCTGCACTAGAGCCACACCGACCTTCCACCTCCTCTCACCCGGGCTCCCTGTCTCGGGTGGGCGGCAGGAAGGGACTGGAGCCGAGCCCCCTGGCAGC